GCTCCAAACTAGCCTGGTAGTTGCAGCCCCTGCTCCCGAACCCCACCTGAGTAGCGGTGCCCAGCTTAGGTTTGAGTTCAAATGTTCACCTTGCACGTACGATGGCATGTGTGCCCGCGGTCCAGCCTCTCCTGACCTGAGCCTCCTTCACTCGGCCAGAGAGACATGGGTGGCCCTGGAGCCTCATGCATCTTACTACGGAGCTGTACCACTGAGCTACATTCCCCCAATTCCCGCCCCTCCCCTCCTTCCCCCAGTTTTGAGTTAGGAGCTCACTAGATTGCCCAGGCTGCTCTTGAACTTCCAGTCCTCTTGCCTGGAGTTGTCAGCATTACAGATCTATCCCACCAGGCTTGGCTGTCACTTGCATGTTCTAGGAAGCACTCCTCTACTTGCCTAGCTTCAGGCACTCACAGCTCAGTTTGGGGCTAATCCCTCATTTGACAAGCTTCACCCATCACTCTCTGCTGCTTAGGGACATCTCCCCTTTTCTGGGGCTTGGAGTATAATACAGCTCCCCTACCTCCCTGTAGGGGCTTCCAGACATTTTTGTGGGAGTCAGGTGAGCAGTGAGGGTGCAGGGGAAGATCCTGTCTTTGTTTAGAATGTTAGTATTTCATTTGTCTCAGACTTTCAGTGTTACCGTTCACTTTCAGAAATATATTAAAATACTGTTTTATGTAAGGACCTGGTCTCACTATGTAGACAAGGCTGGCTTTGAACTCACAGAGATCCACCTGCCTCTGCATCCAGAGTGCTGGGGCTAAAGTGATGTGTCATCATGACTGGAATCTATACCATTCTTAACAGCAAACATGGATGGAGGAAAGTCTAAAGTCTTTGGATTTGACACAGCATGTTCAGTGCTCTCACTGCTAACAAAATAGATCGGTTGGACTTCACTAAATTAACATATTTTTCTGAATAAAAGGACACAGTAGACAAAGAAAGGATAAACGGTAGAATGGGAGAAAATACTTGCAAATCATATATTAGATAAGGATCTAGTATCCAGAGTCTACGGACAATTTCTTTGTGTGTGTGTGAACCAATATGTTTATTGGGGGTTGTGCAAAGGAATATGGGTGAGAGGTTACTTATAGACGCAAAAATGACTCAAAGGTTGCTCAAAAAGCCATGGATGACAGCTCATGAGAAACTGGGAATTTCAGTGTACTGCACAACACAAAGGCAGCTTGACAAGCTGGAGAATTTCTTCCAGGCAGCTTACGTGGTCTGAGTGTCTTCTAAAAAGCGCCACTGCTCTTTGCTTCTTCCAGGCAGTTCAGCCCGTCTCTGCTCACTCCAGACAGCTTGGCTGATCCTCCTTCAGGCACTTAGACTATTCTGAGAGCGTCCCTCAGCCTTTACGCTTATACTTGCTTATGGATGGAGGGTTCTAATGAATCTGGTCAGTTGCAGGGACTTCATAAAGCTACTGAGCGGTTTACTCTAAGTAACCTGCGTTTCCTTGAAGGATGGAATATTTCACACACACACCAAATCCCGTATCTTAAAGCAGGAGAGATGATGGCTCAATAGTTAACAGCACTTGCTGCTCTTGCAGAGGACCTGGGCTTGGTTCCTGAGCACTCAGAACTGTCTAATCCTAGCCAGTTTTGGTTTATGATATGTAAACATGGTTCTGTTTTAATCCCAGATGTGGGACTGATTCAGATTGTCCACAGCAGCAAACAATTTGAGCAGGCTCTGAGGGGGATCTTCACCAGGACACAGGGCTGGAGGCCATGGTGGGGGAGGGTAAGAGACAACCTCCAGTGTTGGTGGGGTTTTCTTTTGGGGTAAGAAGATATTTGGCTGCAAAACCTTGACTATGTACTTACCACCACGTAGCTTTTACCCTTCTGAGCGGGTTGCTTTGTGTGATTATTACTTCATTCCAGACACTGTCTTGATGAATGAGGCTTTTGTGGCCCATCCCCTTGAACCTTGCATCTGAGCTGAATTTTCTCTTCCCTTCTCACTTTCCACGCTCCGGTGTGTTGACCAGAGTCATCATTTTGGAGAGGAATCTGGGGGCTGTGATGCTGGAGTGGTTCAGAATTGCAGATCATCAGGGTTCCAGTCCTGCACAACCAGGAGGCCCCCCCAAATGCCATGACAAAGCCAAGGGGTTGGGGGAGGTGGCTCAGTGGGAAGGGTGCTCGCTGCCAAGCCAGATACCCTGAGGTTAGCTCCTAGAATTTACCTCCAGCAAGCTGTCCTCTGATCCACAGGTACTTGTATTTGCCTGCCCCTCCCCCACAAAAATATATGTTAAACAAGGGGGAGGGGATCAAAGAAGCCTCTAAGGAGGCCAGTGAGAGCCTGGGTCTCTCTTGCGTTCTTCAGGCACAGAGGGTGAAGAGGCATCAGAGGGTGTCTTTAAGACTCCCGGAGATCCAGAATTGATGTGGGTGTCCCCCTGCCGTATCCCCATTAAATAGTAGGAACTTCCTGAGCCCCTCGGGCCTGCACCTCTGGGCCCACAAGCTAGTAT